AGATTTCTCATATTTTGTGCAGTTGCAGACTTCTCCTAAAAACTGCACTCCAATTAATGTTTTTTCATTGTGCCTAAAAGTAGAATTTCAATCACTCTTATTGGATTCGCGTAATTCTCCAGAAGCCGCCAATCCTATGTAGCGTTAACGATTTAAAGTTTCTGCTTTTCTGCAAATGCAGACCAAATGCAACTACTGTGGTAGAGTTAACAGAAGACCACCGAAAGACGAAAAATCTATCCAAAAAATGGATGCCACCTCTATTCAAAAAACTTACCTTGGCCTCGCGCATCTTCTCCAACGCCTGTTTGATTTTCGCCGCTTTCACCTCGTCCGCTGTTAGTTCCGTGGAACGCGGTGAAATCTGAAGTAAAAGTACTTTTGTTGCGATAAGTATAAACGCTCAAGAAATCGTTTTTATGGAATCGATCAATAATTCAGGAACGGGGGAGGCTTTTTTGAGTAATGTCGATGAGTGTGGGTGAATGTGCATATGTGTACGTACGGATAGCCGCTGATTCATACGGCGCCGTCAGGCCATCAACCCGTCTTGTCGCTTCAAATGCGTCAACGCTTCAACGGATTGAATACGCGGCATGTACTGCTATCGGTATGGGTTGTCGTGGTTTCAAAGTTGATATAGTGAGTTTAACCAAGTTTTTCGATAATATCTGTCCCATGAATTTCTTGGTGAAAATATAATCTGTCTAAGTTCAAATCAAAAAATTCATCAAATCCTTTGTTTTTTTCTCAAACTTAATACTACTTTTTTATACACTTTTTGAAATTTAGCATCAACTCTGACGTATTTAATCGTCAAGATAGCAAGACATCTCCAATCTATGCCTGTATGTCGCTTCAAAAATTCAAGCTTTCTACAAAAACGATTCTGTCAAGCTATAGAGCCTTTACGGCCTAAAATTTAGAAATTACGCGGATGTCGCCAGAATTTTTGTGTGTTTGCTTTGTACACGTTTTTTTTTTCGTCATATTATTCATTCAAAAGGATATAGGCACTTCCACCATATTTGGCGCTAGCGTGTGCTTGCGGTGGACCAAAGAGACGCTCACATGCACCTTATCTCAACTTAATTACAAGGGAGATTGAGGCCATATACACCGAATTAATGACGTTCTCCTCATTTCAAGAAGGCTCTTCCCAAATGGGTACAAATCTAGTATCAAAAAACCACATGAAAGACTTTGAAATTATCCTGTTTACCCAAGTATAAACCACTGCGCATGAGACTGCATGCTCGCCGCATATAACGCCAAGTTCGTGTTTCTTGCTCTACATCTTTTTCCTTTCTAGCTATACTTTTCAAAAACAGTTTACCTATCAGATTTAACAGACCGCATTAATCTAACATTCGTATTCAATAGTAACAAACTTAACCACTCAAACCATTCTATCTGACTTCCCCAGTCAGAGCTTCATCAGAGAAGCAATCATAAAAAGTATGGAACTGTTTTCACACCAACTTCTTCAGGCAAAGTACATTTAAGATGGTTGCCCTTTTAAGGCAACTAGCATCTTTCAATAATTATTCTGAAATTTTTCAAAACCGTGGCTGAGCTGCCACTTTCATCACAAAAAAAAACTAATTATAATTCGTGAATGAATTTAGTCTTATGGCGAACAGCTCAACCACTACTCAAATATGGGTGGCTTCATAGCGGTAAGCAGGGTATAAGAAGATGTTTTATTAGTTACAATAAACATACGCTTTAAAATGACGTCATAATCGAAATCGATTTGTTGATTGGTTCCATCGTTATAAGTTTTTCCAAGCAAAATTACCGCAGTTATTACCATACCTGCACTCCATCTCGGTTCACTGCTTCCTTTCACTTCTCATCCACTAAACATTGCGCATAGTCATAAATGTGTGTCATCGCCGCCATTAAACACCCCCTTTTCGCCAATAATAATCATTGTTATTATAATTCGAACAATTAACAGCAATTAGTCAACGTTGCACACTGTTTCGCCTTGCGCTTACGATATTTCGCATGCCAGAAGGCTAACCACGCGTGCAGCTATAAT